CTTTCTATCAAATGCATAGCTGGATTTGGGCACCAGGGTGTGTCATCATTATGGAGGATTCTGGAATTTTCTTTTTTTTTTTCCTTTCTGTGTAACAGGGATCGAACTTGGGCTTGAGAGGCAGAAGGTGGAACCGCTGAGCTAAATCCTCAGCCAGAATCTGGAATTTTTTAACTCTCCTAGGGCTGCAGTCAGTTGACTATGAGAAGACCTCTGGGAAACAGTTTTCATGTATATTTATATCATTAACAATTCATTTCTTTAATATTTGTGTTAATAATAACAAATGTAATTAATAAGTTGTATAAGGGTTACATATATATTAATGTCTTTGGCAACATATATGTTTGTATCTCTGTGTGCGCGCGCACGCGCGTGTGTGTGTGTGTGTACAGAGAGTGAGAGAAGTAAGATCGTTTCCTCCTTTCCCTCTCTGTGTACTCATGGATTAGATGCAGTGCTAAGAGATGAGGCTATTTGCTTACAGCCAGCAATGAAATGCCATGGGACTCTCAGAAGGTTAACTAGGGTCACGGTGTCTTTAAGACATGGGAAAAATCCTGTTCAACCTCAGACTTCATATCAACTGAAAAAAATAAATGCCTCCATTACTCAAATTCATTTCATTCTGATATCTTTTCACTGCTTTTCCCTTCATACAAAATACAATGCATCTAGCACAGGGACTTAAGCAGCTGCCCCTCCAACAGTAAAGCTGCTGCTGCTATATCTTCTGTACCTGAGTGCAGGTACGAGGAGTCACCCATGTCAGAGCACTGCAAATTTGGACTCTGATGCTGGTCTCCTATCCTTCCTCCTCCTATGACCTCCACACAGGCTTTCCAGGAGTGGCAGGAGGGTGTACAGCGGTGGGTAGCACTTAATCAGTGTGGCCAACTGCTCCCCTGCAGCCTGCTGTGATATTTTTTCTTCAGCACAGGCTCTGTGGTTCTTGGGTAATGACTCCTGTCCTCACTGCTGGACCACTTATGGTCAAGCTCCCTACTGATGTCCTGAGTTGACTCTGTTAGATGAGTTTCCTCAGCAAAGCCCTGAGGCCCCTAGTGTCCCAGCAGCAGAGGAAGTCACAGCTCACACTGGGTCTGAGTTCACAGTCCCCCCAAGCTGCCGCCTACTTTGTTCTACTTGGTAAGGGCAGCCAGACCCCTCCTGTGGTAAGGCACAAAACTGGAACTCATTCTTCCTGTCTGGCTGTGCCTTGGTTTCCTCACTGAAAAAATGGAAAAGGTGATGATACTTATTTGAAAGGCTTATGATAAGTATGAAATGAGGTGACATGTAAACTTCTCAGAAGAATAGCAGCTCCAGGAAAGAACACAACATATGGTGGTTGTACTTCTCATATTGTCACTCTTGTCATAAATCTCATTACATCATCACTGTCATTACCATCATCATCAACATCAATCTTCCAAGAGTTAGTTCTCCCTCAGGAGCAGCCCAAAGATTCCAACTGTGATTTGCATTTTTTGTCTCTCTAGTATGTCCCTGCTGCCACACAGATCAAGTAATTGCAGTAGCCATGCATTTGGACCCCATAAAACTTTCAGTAGCACTACAGAAAAATCCCCATATTTTTTGATGAAAGGTTAAAACATTCTGAAACAGGGAATTTGTAGATGGAATATGTTCGATTAAGAAGAAGAAATATGTGCAATATGTAGTCGGGATATGTAGAAGGAATGTGTTGGTCCAAACTTATCTCCGGAACTTTAAAGTTCTGATGACTCCTAAAGGAGGGACATCTGACCCAGGTTGGACTAACCAAGAAGATATTCAGATGTATAAATGAGGCTCAGTGTCTGGAGCCAGAGGAGGAGCCAGAACAAAAACAGAGATAGCAAATAGTCATAGGCACATTTGTGAAAGTGCAGAAGTTGGGAAATGGCCTTCACAGAGCTGTATACCATGCAGGTCAAACTCAGGCCATGTAAAGCATATATGTGGGATGACTGCATGCAGAAGGATGTTAGGATGCTGGTACGGGGTCTTAAAGGGTAACACAAGGGTGGAGTCTCCACAAGAACAATGCAGATCCTTGACCTGGGAAAGGACTGGATGGGTCAGCAGCTGCAACCCCAGCCCTGGGGCCTGACAGATGGGCTTTTGGGTAACAAAAGCCAGGTCAGCACAACTGCCTTAGGTTATGGGTAGATACTTACAAAGAGGGGTTCTGCCAGGCTCCTAAATAAAGAGGGACTTAATCATGACCTCAACTAAAGACCATCATCCATCTAATATTCCTGCCTCTGGTCAGGATGATTCCTGAGAACCAGGGGAAGATATGGGACAAACTTTGGAGTTATAGGAAGGTAGAAGAACCCAGGAGCTTGGAAAGATTTTGTTTGCCAACAGGTTCCAGGTGAGAAAAGCTAACATAAGAAAGAAATAAGGTTCAAGGTGGGACTTGCCAGCACTAGTAAAAAGCCCCCAGAACTCCTTTCCAGAGAAGACTTAGACAACCACTCATCAGTCTGAATTCTAGAACCTACCATATGCATTTGTATATTTAAAAAGTCTTTAAAGAGTTTAAGAGATCTCAATGCTCCTATTTGCAGTTACTTATCATCTAGATAGGTGGATGTAGAATCAAATCTGCTGCAACAATAAATAGCTCTAGAACCCGCTGCCTCCAATTTGCAACGTTCTCACTGTTCTAAGAAATTTTACTGTTGGATAGGAGACTAGCAAGGTGGTTGCAAGAGTGAAAAGTAATAAATAACATGTTTTTTCAGAAAGTCTGCATGTTCATATGAGTATCAGAAAAACAGCAAAGCAATCAGATGAAATAGTCTCTTATCACCAAGCAAGGCAGAAGGACCTCCGATAGAATTAGAAGTTATTCATACCTATTATACAATATATGTCTGAAAATATCACTTGATTGCAATTATTCTAAGAAACTCTCCCTCCTACTCTGGTATCACAAAGAAATATGAATCAATATCTAAATCAGCACATGCCTCTTTAACCACCCTCCTTCTGAAATTATTTACATTCTATTTTTGCTTTTGTTGTTCTAAATAGGTTAGTCTCTTACCTTTAATGAAGATTTGAATTTCCAAAGGAGCACTTTGGAAGCTGAGTGGACAAGTAGGATATGACAAAAAAAGAAGAGTGGGGGCTGTGTATGTGTTTTTTTCCTAAATGAAATATCAATTTCTGTAGTGAAAATCATAATGCCAATGACATGATTCTATGTTGTATGATAAAAATAGTGATTATTTAAAAAAATAAAGAAATTTATTAAAGCAGAAGACACATTGTCATTACTCATACTCCAAATACTCTGCCTTGCTTACAGACATGTATCCCTTAGTCCTTGCCCACTTTCTGTAGCATTTCTGGCAGTCTTCTTTCATTAGTGTCTTAGTCATGCTGTCCTGGCTGCCTGGATATCCTGAATCAATTTTAAAAGTTTACCTTTCATGGCTCTTTTGATTTTGGAGGCTTCTCCAAAAGTGACTTCTCCAGAAGTCACAAAAGTGCCTGTTGAATAAGGTGCCATGGGATCATTTTTTCATCTAAATTGGTGTTTTGTTGAAGACAAAATATGTCGTAAGGGTCTCTCTACTTTCGGCTCACCTTCAACCACTCAACTTCTGAATCTAATTTAAAGTAAAAACAATTCAATTCCCTTCTTCTTATCCACCTTGTTTTGGCTAATCTGGATGTTTAGATAATTTTGTGATGAGTTTAAGAGAGGGCAGTGCACCTATCTCAGCTTCAGGTACATGAGATATGTGGTTGTAGAAGCTTGCACAAGCTTGCACATGCTTACTCCTAGGTGCACCTGGTCCGTGCTGTACCATCCATGCGGGTGATCTGGTCTAACAACAGTGGCAGCAAAGAGTTTCACTTAAAGGTTTCTCACATTCAGTCAAGAAGAGAACAGTATCAAAAGACTCACATCACTCTACATTGCAATTCTTTTGTGGCAGCAAGTGCTGGAGTCCACCAAACTCATCTTTCAACTTCCAGAGTAAAGTGGCTGCAGAACCCAGGAGCAAGATGCCTGCCACATCTCACTCCACCTCTGACAGGCCAAGGGATGGGCTGTCACCAGTGGACGGTGACCGCAGTGACACAACTGACCATGAGGATGAGGCCTCAAAGGATGGAAGTCCCTTACCACAGACTGAGCCTTCCCACCCCAGCCTCTTTCATGAGTGAGAAACAAACTGCTGTTGGGTTCTGTCACAGAAACAGCACAGTACATTTCTACCCCGGATATGGTTTCCTTACCTAAGACACCACCTGCAAAATGTGGCGTGTCAAAAAACAGCATCCAGGGAGATGACTGCAAATTACGCTTGAGAGCAGTGGAAGTTTTCAACTTTATAGATCTTCAATCCTGTTACATTCGCACAAATATCCACACACTCTTACATTCTTATATGTGAAAACATGGTCTTTAGCAGGATGACTGCTTTTGTGGCCAAGTGACCAAAGAGTTGTTTTTCTCTTTAATACTTCACAGTCTCAACAATCACTTTCATCTGGATGACAGAGTATTCTCACATATGGAGAACTGCTCATGTGGTTGATATTTGAGAGGCAATTTATAGCTTATCATTAGACATTACAAGCAATGTATTTTGTCTTTCTCACTTTTTTTATTCAGAAACCTGTAACTGTGGATTATTTAGGAATTAAAAAAAACAAAAATAACCAAGCTGGGAGCATGTGATTTGGCATCTCCTAACTTCCAGAAAATTGACTAAAAGCAAAGTTTCCCTTTGTGTGAGATTATGCATAATCTGCATCCAGGGCAGGCATTAATTTTGTTAAAAGAGCTTCAAGTACAAATCAGGCTATTGTGGACCTTTTGAACATCTTAAATTGGGCCAGTTATGACTTCTTTCCAACATCTGGCTGAACATTCCATTTCCCCAGCTGGGTTTGGAAGGAGGAGACAAATTCCACAATTCACTGTTTGGGCGACTGAAGTCCAGAGAATGGAGAGTGCAGCACTGTACCTGATGCTGTTCATGCTGCCTGCCTCCGATCCAAGCTTGCATCGCTCCAGCTGGCTGGCTACGATCTGGCGTTCGGCCTCCAGCTCTCGGGTCAGCCTTTCAAACTGTAATTCCTGAAAGAAACCCACCAAAGAGATAAATACTATCAGCCGCAGGAAAGACGGGATCCAGAACAAAATGACAGGACAGGGGGACAGACACACATCACTTGACAAAGTGACAAAATGTGAGCCACAAAGGGCGCTGTTATGGAATAAAAACAATTTGGAGCTTGGACTTGGGACCCCACCAGCTGTGAGAAAACCCAATGATTTGTTGAAGATTGTTTCATTATCTGCAAAATTAGTTTAAAATACTTATTTCATAAGCTGAAGCAGAAGAGTCAGTGAGACACACTGAGAAAAAATTATCCTTGTCACTTGTGGCAACTGATCAGTATTCAACAGATATTAATAATCTTTACACCCAAAATGTAGTATTTAATAAAGAAACAATTCACGCTTTCTCATCACTTGCATATGGTCTTCATTCCCTACTGGACTTCTAGCTGCTTCTGTATATTAATTTGGTCTTTAAATTACCTCCACCTTATAGACTGAAGCAAATGATGCCTTAAATTCCAGCACAACGACAACAATACTGATTCTGTGCAGTTTAAGTGCTACCCACAAAATCTTTGAGATAGCTGACATATCACCTTTAAAAAATAGTCAATTAAATACAAATGCTTCTACAATGCTGACTAAAGTTTTGTGTTAATTTTAATGAAAAATGATTTAAATAGAACTACAAAGATGTTAGCTGCCTCAACTACAGCAATTTTATACCAGGTTTTATTTTTTTAATATACCATATTTTAGTCTTTATATTTTATTTTTCACTATGCTATTGTTTTAACAAACAATTATAGCAAGTCACATTTGAATTAAAAGTGTCAGAAAACATTTTTACAATTGTACATTTAACTTCTTATAAAAATACATTATCAGTACGGTTATATTTTAGGGATTAAAAAATAAGAATGCTACCTTATACTAAAAAGTAGGGTGTGGGTATATTTTGGAGAAGTACAACTACCCAAATTTTATAGATTTGTCTTCCAAAAGATAACACTTTATTAGCTGTCCTCGAGATTCTTTAAAATGTAAGATATGATGCCCCTCTCTATATATATAACAAATACTCTAGATGTCTTATAGATGTTTTCTTTATGTTGACATAATTTCAGAGAATGAAGTTAAAAGACACTGCAGATGAGGGCATGACGTTGCCTTTTGGGGTTAAGCTGAGAAGGCATGTTGTTGTTTAAGTACAGACTTTCACTAGTGCATATTCAGAAGGCACCAGGACTCTCAGTAAGAAGATCTCTGCCAACCTTGCCATTTAACCTCCCCTTCTTCTGTCTCGAAGTCTATTACTCTAGCTGTTCTCTCTCACAAAAATACCCAAGTTCTAGAAGACTTTTCATTTCCAAGTTTAAAATATACTATGCTTTGAACATATCTGGGAACAGTAAACTAACTCATTCTTTGCCTCAGTAATACCTTAAAAACCTCATGTTCTTTGTGTGTAGTTGCAATATGGAAATAACATCATTCCTTTCTTCCCCACCCCTTTCCCTTCCCTCCTTCCCACATCCCTTCAACTCTTGATCCTTTTCCTCTTTCAGAAAGATCTATCTCCCTATGTCCTATTGTCCTTTATTGTGTTTTTAATTTATAACTTGGGTTTCTGACACTAGAGAAATGATGTAATATTTAAATTTGTATGGCTGATTAATTTCACTTAGCATTTTGGCTTCAAGGTGCATCCATTTTTATACAAACCACTCAATCATCTTTATAACAGAGTAGGAAGTACACCACTGTGTGCAAATCCCATGTTTTCTTTATCCATTTGTCTGTTGATGGGTATATAGGCTGCTTCCAACATGTCACTATTATGAACTGTCCTGCTATAAAACTGGCTATGCATGTAAAAGGAGGGGATCAGGAAATGGATAGGAAGGAGGCAGAGAAGGGAATGGGGGATTGGAGAGAAGAATTAAAATATATTACGTGCATGTCATAATTCCCCACAAGGAACGTAAGCACTCTGCTTTATAAACATGTACTAATGAAGAAAGTGACCTGAAGAAATATTCTAATGTTTAAAAACCATAACCAAAGCATCCGCAGCTAGATAGAAATTCATGATGTGTGTTGTCTAAACAGAAATCTTCCCTCCACTGTTAAAAGACCACCATGGTGACACAGTGTGACAATCTGATACTGAGATTGGAAGCCCTGGGCCTCTGGTAGGACAGAGGGCACCCTGAGGTACACGTGTGAAAAACTGTGGCCATAGCATGCTTCTCTGCCCTAGATGTAAGGTTGGGCATGATGGGAGATGGCTTTCTCATTTGCAAACTGCCTTCTCAACAGACAGGCAAAATTTGCAGTCTTCTGCAAGCCTTTGTATGGAACTTATTTCCATTTGATTTGATCTTCCTTCCATTTAAAGGACTTACTGGAATATTTCTTGTCCTGTGGGTCGCCAGGCCATGAATACTTTCAGCCTGACATGACCCACACACACATCTCTTTGAAGTATTGAGTACTGAAGCCATGGAGTGACATCCCCATCCCTTTTTGTTTTTATTTTTTGTTTTGAAACAGGGTCTCAGTAAATTACCCAGCTGGCATTGAACTGGTGATCCTCCTGGCTCTCTCTCTCAAGTAGAAAGGACTGCAGGCTGGCAGAATACCTAGCTTGATGTTCCTTTTAAAAGTCTTTGTTTAGCCCTCATTTTTTTGAAATATATTTTTTTTCAGTGTCCTCTCCCTTGTACTATTGCTAAAAATAAAAACAGAGAAAGAAAGAGAGAAAGAAAAGACTGTACAGCACTTTTTACAGTACTGCAGTTAGAGTCCAGGATTTTCACACTGAGCTACATATCAGCCTTGATTAATTAAATAATTTCCTTCCTTCACTTCTTTACTCCTCTCTCTTTTCCTTTCCCCTTTCTTCCTCTCCTCCCCTCCTCTTTTCTCTTCTTCTTTTCCATCACACCAAATTGCTAAACTGCTTGGCATGGACTCAAACTTGCAATCCCTCTGCCTCTGCCTCCCACAGTGCTAGGATTACAGACATCCACAACCATGTGTACTTTACAGTAAACTATAACTTTAGATGCATATGGTGTCTTTTTCCCTCTGCTTTTCACTGTTTTGTCCATTACTGAAAACTTTCACTCAATTCTGCACAATTGTTGGTGACGTTCCTTGGTGAGATTTTCTTCCTATTTTTTATGATTGGAGTTTGTTGAACTTCATCAGATATGAAAAAAAGTTCAGCTATTAGTTCTTTTAAAAACAATTTTCTCTTCTTCACTATCAACTCTCCTTTAGTGAGTCAAATTAAGTGTTTGAGATGCCACTTGGAACTCACACACTGCTTTTCTATTTAAAAGTATGTGTGTGTGTGTGTGTGTGTGTGTGTGTGTGTGTGTGTGTGTGATTTGGATTTTGGGTTAAATAATCTTTTCATTTTATCATTAATCCTATCCAGCGTGGTTTTATGTCAACACCAATGATTTAAACATTTGTAGAAGTTTCACTGGATTTTTTTTCCTTTGTACATCTTTCATGGCTATATTCAACTCTTTAAAAATATGGAATCCCTTACAAGATAACCATAGAGATGGTGAGCAAAATGGAAATCATGATTCTAGACTCTAGAACAGAAACTGACAAAAAAATAGATGAGCTCAAGACCATGATAGAAGCCATGAAGGCCCAGCATAAGAAAGAAATGGAAACCATGAATGCCCAACAGAGGAAAGAAATGGAATCCATAAAAAAGATTCAAACAGATATCAAGGAGATTAAAAACTCTATTGAAAGTGTACATAACAGAATAAAAAATTGCAAAGATACAATTTCAGATATAGAAGATAGGATTGCAGTCAGTGACCATGAAAAGAGAGGTCTCTTAAAAATATAAGGGATTATGAGAAATCGATCCAACAAGTTCTAGATGATGCAAAGAAAAATAATATAAGATTGATAGGAATCCATGAAATAGCAGGAGAAAATACAAAGACTTAAAAAAGCTCTTCACAGAATTAATGACAGAAAACTTCCCAAACAGAAGGGAAGAATTAGACATACAGATAAGTGAGGCATATAGAACTCCAACGAGACACGATCAAAAAAATCTACACCTAGACATATAATAATCAAGATCCCAGAAATCCAACAGAAGAACAAAATACTACAAGCAGTAAGAGAAAAGAAACAAATCACATGCAAAGGAAAGCCCATCAGAATCACAGCAGACTTTTCAACACAAATCCTTAGGTCAAGGAGAGTCTGGAGTGAAGTATTTCAAGTCCTAAAAGAAAACAACCTCCAACCTAGATGTATCCTGCGAAACTCTCCTTCAAAATGAATGGGGAAATAAGATACTTCCATGACAAAGAACACCTGAGAAACTTCATGAACACCAAACCAGCACTATAAGGAATTCTAAACAATATCCTAGAAAAGGACAATGAAGGTCACAACACCATGAGGCCCAACAGACCAAATCAAATAGGCAAGGCAAGAAACTAAAAGAAGAGGGGAGAAAAAGTAAAGAGTCAACAAAAGGACAATAGCATGATAATAATAAGTCAGAAAATGTCAGTAATAAATATCAGTGTCAATGGCCTCAATTCACCAATGTAGAGAAATAGACTGGCAGAATGGATTAAGAAGCAAAATCCAACAATATTTTGTATACAAGAAACACACCTAGTGCAAAAAGAAGCTCATAGACTGAAAGTGAAAGCATGGAAAACAATTCTCCATGCATAAGGAGCCCAGAAAAAAGCAGGGGTAGGAATATTATTCGCAGACAAAGGAAATTTCAAAACAAAACTCATTAAGAGAGACAAAGAAGGTCACTACATCCTTGTAAAGGGAACAATTCAAGAGGAAGAGATGACAATCATAAACATATATGCACCAAATATGAAGGCCCCAAATATATAAACCAAATATTAAGTAACATGAAAAACCAAATAAGCACTAATACAATTGTAGTGGGGGATTTAAATACCCCACTACCACAAATTGACAGATCATCTACG